CAAGGCATACATCGGCCCGACGTTTTACCAGGCCTGATCTAGTATTTCAACTCCCAATCCGGGGGTTCAACTCCCCCAAGAATCAAGATCTCAAGATCCAACGGCGACGACATAGTAATTAAGGTCGTAGATGAAGCCAGCTACAGTAGGCACTATAGTTTACCGGCGTCATCCAAAAAACAATCCAATTTCACCAAGTTTTCGTAGTATTCTGGTACTTAGAGAGTTCCAAAGTGTCAACATGTAGAGAGATATATCTCATATAATTAGAAGTAGGTGCATGTTTCTGTTGAACTGTAGATTCAAGGGTCAAATCTATGAATTATAGGTTTATAGAGTTGAAATTTATACCAAAAGATAGCCAATCTCTCAGACTTAACGTCTGTCTTCACAGAAACGTAATATTCTGGGGATTACAGAGATGAGAGAGGTTTGAAGATATCTCATGAGCCATGGGGTGAAATGTTTTGGGCGAACAAATTGTAAAATGGGCGGGGAGATGGGTTATCCATGGACTTTTCTTGGGCTTTGGATGGGCTGAATTCACTGCATATGCATGATCTAGCCAATCAGATGCTAGAATCAAGATATTCCGTTTTAATGTCGACTGCTACGGTGATCTCTGTTTACAATATCTGTTTGCTACGGCGTCGATACGTCGACAGTTCTCTCACTAAGAAGGTATGTCGATTTCTTCCTCCTGAAGCTATTCCCCTGAAGCCCTTCATCCAATTTTGAACCTACTATCAAGTTGTCATCCTGATCATGTCGCAAAGCCAGGAGTTTAGATCCTCCCAGTTGGGCCTGTTCGACACTGAGCCCGACAATTCGTCAATTGCTACGCCTTCTCTTTGCCCAGCTACTCCGTCCACCTCTCGGCAGGTTGATAGCTTCTCGTTCGTTGAGCCGTCTGTTCCTTCGTCTATCGCCCTAGATCCCCTTGAACGCTTCCAACGTGTCGGTCCTGGTAGGAGAGGAGGCCAGTTTTTCCTTTACGACGCGATGAATCACACTGATTGGGTCAACTGGTGGTTGGAGACTGACTATGGATCTAAAAACAAGATCGCTTGGGAGTCACAGCATGGCTCCGCTTCGGAGACCTGGAAACAGTTTGAGCAAGTGGCCCATACGGCGACTGGAAACCCAAAGGTCTTGTGTAAGCGTTGCGATGCAATTCTTGAGCACCCTTATACTACTAAGAAGGATGCCAATGGGAGGGTTGGTCGTCATGGCACGACAACAATTACCCGTCATCTTCAGACCTCAGCCTGCCAAAAGGCTACAAGTGGACGCCGGCAGAGGGCTGAATTGACGAGGTTCCTTCAAACGGTATACTGTCATACCTAGCTCTACTAGACCCTACTAACTAGCATCATGATCAGGGTAGTCATAGCCAGACATTCTCGCAAGAAGGTTTTGAGAGTAAAATCTTGGAGTTTATTACTACTAACCGGCTTCCATTCCAAATCGTTGAAAATCCAGCATTTCGTGAGCTCATCGCAGAGGTAAGTCCGTCAGATGCCAGTCCGTAGGCGTCAAATCGCCCAAATCCTCCAAATCCGCCGTCTTTACCAATCAGCCTCTATTTGCCTCGTCACCTAACTAAATCTTAAGTCTTGAATCTAGGCACAATCCGCCCTAAGCCCTCCGATCGTGCCCTCCGCTGATACAATTCGACGTCGCCTGTCTGGCCGTGTTAAAGAACGACAGCATGATACACTCAGAATGCTTCCAGAACATGCAAAGATCTCGATTGCGTTAGACTGTTGGACATCTCCATTTCAGCAGGCATTTATGGCTATTACTGGCTATTTCATCGATGCCGAATGGGTCTACCGTGAGGTGCTACTCGGCTTTAAACCCCTTCATAGTTCGCATACAGGTGCAAACCTAAGTGCTATTCTGATGGAGACGCTTACCGAACATGGCATTAAGGACCGAGTCTTTGGAATAACCACCGATAACGCATCGAATAATGAGACTCTGGTTAAGGCACTACAACAGTCTTTACAACAAGAGCCTTCGGCTTCGGCTACTGGTTTTAACGTCATCCGGGTCCCCTGTCTCGCTCATGTCATCCAATTAAGTCTGAACCAACTACTTCACCGACTTAAAGCACGCCCAAAGAATGAACAAGCCGAGACTGTCTGGACAGAGGAACAACAGATTAGCCTTGCTAAGGCGAATGCGGAGGCCAGGTCTAAGAAACGGGACATTGCGCATACCTTAAAGAGGATACGATCTCTTGCTGTTTATATCCGCGGGAGCCCTCAGCGTCGAGATCACTTCCTCAAAGTCCAACACGACCTCGACAAAGGCCAAGGCAAAGTTCCAGGGCAAGGACTTATGCCGATCCAGGACGTCAAAACTCGATGGAATTCAACGTTTCTGATGCTACGCCGGGCGAAGAGACTCCGTACTGCTATCAATGAATACTGTCGTCAGTTCAACTGTACAGAATTCGAACTTGATGATGAACAAATGGCGCCAAATTGACTATCTGATCTATCTCACAAAGCCATTCTTTGACTTTACGCTCGCCCTTTCGAAGACACGAGAGGCGACGTCGTTTCTTGTCTTCAGGATCTATAACCAGCTCTTTGAACACCTTGAGAAGTGCAAGTCGCAGCTACAACGAAAACGTGTTCCATGGAAACAGCAGATGCTTACCTCCCTCGGAGCAAGCCATTCAAAACTGTCGGAGTACTATAAGAAGACGGATCATATGCGCGGGCATATCTATGCGGTTTGTACGATGCTATCGCCGGATAGTAGATTCCAGTTCTTTTTATCTGATAACTGGGAGGATGCCAAAGAGATCCGTGAGCAGTATCGAGTGGCTTTCCGTGAGGCACTTATTCCTATCCAGGAGCGTCTTACTACTTTAAATAGCCCGCAAGTGTCTTCCTCTGGATCGATGCCAAGATCCTTCCTTCTTGGCCTGATGGCTCCCCCGAAGTCTCTCTCCAAACGCAAAGGCAAAGCTGGTAAAGCAACGCTAGGCCCGACTAAAGATGATGAGATGACGCAGTATCTCGACGGCAGTAAGTTAATCTCTATGTTTATTCTTTCTTGAGAGATGGTTTTTCGGCCGAAAACCCATCCCTATCTTCATGATACTAATTTCTTACAGGTTTAACTATATCTGATGAGCCGCTCTCCTTTTGGAGAGAGAATCAATATCGCTTCCCTGCTATTGCCGCACTTGCAAGAGATTACCTTGCAATTCCAGCCACAGGTGCTGGAGTTGAACGTCTGTTTAACACTGCACGCGATATCTGCCACTATCGCCGGGGCTCTTTGAAGGCGCAAACTATCGAAGAGCTGATGTTGTGCCTCTGTACGTCAAGGTTTGATCTTGAAGTGCAAGAGGCGAAGGAATTTGAGCAGTTCTTTGGCTCTAATGAGATTCAGATCCTGGTGGAGGAGGCTCAGGCGGCTCAAAAGCCAGGTGATGATGCCGAGGAGCCAGCTGAGGTGCTAGCTGTCGTCGACGTTGATGCGATCAGTGATGCTGAAGAGCAGGGTGATAGATCCGGTGATCTGATAGATGTTGACGATGACGATGACGATGCTACTATCGCTGCGGCACCGTCTCATGCGGCACCGTCTCAAGTGCGGACATCAGGGAGGAAGAGGAGGCATGTTGAGGATGATTTGTATGAGCATTATTAGCATGTAGATAGTTTTACCTCTTGGGATCTAATCAATCGATCTCATCAGTTGATCTCATCAGTTAATCTCATCAATCTCATAAATCAGTGAATTGCGTCGATTTCCATGAGATCTCAGTCAATTAGGGGCCTCAGGTGGTAATTGTAATACTCAAAATTACTAGGAAGGTCTACATAACTTATGCAAATGCCAAGAATTGGCATGTTTGCAATGTTTGGGGCCCATTTGGGGGCCCATTAAACCATATTGGGCTTCTACCTTGGGCCCATAGCCTACCAGTGGGCCTAATGCCAGGCCCAAAACCCGCCCCATTTATGGGCTGGGGTGGGTTGGGCTATGGGCTTTGTGGGCCGGTGCGGAGGTCTATCCAAGAGCTAGTCGAGGATTCACGCATGAACTAAATTATGACAGTGGTGGGTTTGAACTGTCAGGTCAACTTCTTAGAACAGCTCTGATAAAATATACTAAAAGTTGTAGCGACTGTATTCCTTTCTTTTCTTTTGTTTTCAGTATCAAGCGAGCCGTCAAATAAATGCCTCGTTGGCAGGATCAATTTATAGGTGATGCAGATTCTTCCTTCGGTCGCACTACTGTCTAATCCGATGATTCCGATTCCATAGACCTCATCTTCATTGGTTCAAGTCCGAATACGTCCAGTCAGAAACAGTTGTAGGTGCAACGCTGATAATAGGCCAAGCCCGGCGTGAAATTCAGCCTATCCTAGACGACCTCTACGCGCCGTTGTTGATCGCTTCCGTCGGGGGAACCGGGAACTGTCCCGACCCCACGCCAGCCAACCAGATGTCTCTCCAATATTTCTAGTCAAGCAAACTATCTTTACTAGCCCCGAACTAGTACCCTGCTGTGCAACGAACCGCGCCCATGTTGGTCACCAATAGAACCTCGGAAATGGCATTCCTGGCTAGACTGGTCGCTGTTTTTTTGGGGGCCGTTCTTGGAGCCGCGGTTATTTGTCATACACAGATCTTTTCAACAGATGAGAATTTGCTGCCCTGCCCATACGCGCTTCACCCTCCGAACATATTCCCATTCTCGCGAGATGTGCCGCATTCTCAATCTCCCTCCCGAGATTGTCGTGTGGGTATTTGAGTCGCTTGATAACATAGATGACGCCTTACATCTTGCCCGATGCTGCAAATATGCCTTTTCTGTTTTTGACGCGACTAGCGTTCGATTGAAGATTTTTAGATCCATCATCGTAAGAACACCACTTCTGCTGAACGCGATCTGGTGATTGTCTGACTGTGAAATAGTCACATGCTTCTCAACACCAGCATGATCTTGAACTCAATCAAGCTGTCCATATGCATGGCCATTTCTCATCTGAATTTTACAGTACACCATCAATTCCAGGAAATGCCGTTCGTCGCAGATGGCATCTCAATATGCTGGAACCTCTGGAATATGGCAAGGATATACCAGAGGAGGTTGTTTGGGACATAGTGTCACGATGGCATGGAATGCGTCTTCTCTTTGCTATCTACCTGGATAAAGCCATAAATGAAGCCTATGTGAATTCGACTTTCTCATATACGTCCGGTGTGAATAGACCGGATACAACGGAGGCGTCGGCTAGTGAAGGGGATATGCCGAAGCCGTCTCAAATTCCTGGTTCATGCGCGAATGGAACGATTCCAGAAGACAGAAAAGGCGGCTATGAACGATTCTACAAGGCTTTGACAGCGCAATGGGTGGCCATTGAAAAGCTCTGGAGGGTCAGAAGTCAGGTCTGGCCGAATGCCCAAAAATTTGACGACGCATTCGACTCTACCTTGAGACAGTGGACAAATAACCCGGCCAGGCCTATTAGAGAGAAACTAGATATCGTTGAGATAGTCGACTTCATATGGGGGTTTGCTGGACGAAAGGCTTTTCATGTCTCTGATGTCCCTTCTTGGCTGGAAGGTGAAGACGATCTGGTCAGAGACCAATATATCGACCAGAACGAAAGCGAAGTTGGGGATTGGGGCTTCTTTGTACGAAGCGTTATTCAATTCCTGAGGCCTCCGCAAATTATCCAATTGGTTCTTTCCTCTTGGTACCCATCGAGTTGGAACTACGATCGACCAGGATTTCTTCGACATCTGGGGCTTTTTGACACCTGGGACGGTGTACTCGTGGATGATCAAGACTCTCCAATGTCCGACAACTGGGTTCCCTTGGACATAGTGGACGATGACGTGGGGAATTCCTTTGCGCACATGGATAATTCTAAGGAGGTTGAGAGGAGATGGGAGAAGTATAGGGAAGTGCTGTGGCCGAAGGAGATAAAGGGAAAATTGTTTTTGCAAACTACAGCCGAGCGAGAGATTTTGTGTAAAATTTCGGAAAGCTCTTGAGTTTGATAAGGCAGAAATAACACCGGAAACACAATATTCTTCCATTCGGTCACCTTGAGGATATTCTTCTGGTTATATCATTGCCGCACAGGAAAAATCCAATTTCATTCTATCACGTCTCTTTCGAAACTCACAGCATTTTGTTTGTCGCCTCAAGAAGCCAAATTTCTTCCGTAGCCCTATCCCACGGGGGTTGCTGGAGTCTACTAGACTCCAGGTTAGTTAGGGCTTCCCGTTAACTATGGGTACGGAGGTTAATAGGGATCACGAGTGCAAGAATGACAAATGGTGGCTTTTGTCGGGCAGAATTCCCGCTTGGCCGACTTAGAGGTAGTGAGAATAGTTATGCTGGTACCAGTCTAGCCTTATTAAACCTAGCGTAATACGAAGTAACGTCGTCTATGCCCAATTAGGCTTTAGTCTATCCAGCGCTCACAAATAGACCTAACGTCGGCCAACTCGTCTTCCTACCCTTCCCTGCCTATAAGGCACTAAAACAAGCTGAATTCTTCCAAATAACATGTTTTCGCTAAACAAGCACCTGTCTCCTCTTTCTGACTAGTCAAGACACGCAAATTGAAGTTGATTGAGTCTCAAAATCGAAAAATAACGCGAAATGACATATACTCTCCAAGTCCTTCCACTCCGCCATCTCTGTCTTATGCTAATTACCCCCTGCTTGCCCTCCAGATCTCCGAAACAGGCCCTGACTCAGTCATTCTCTCCATATCCGACTCTCGCAGCTGGTATCTCCGCCGGGTACGTGGTGGAGAGATCCCTGGCGGCACACGAGCTCGCTTTCGCCGCTGCGGCAGCGGTGCCGGTGGTGCTGGTGGCGGAGTGGCCTCCACAGCTCTCTGCGGTGATAATGACCTGATAATTGCTCCTAGTGATGGGAGAGATGATGGGATAGATGCCTCTGACGGCGGAGGAGATGGCGCTGGAGCTCCTGCTGCCACAGGAGCTTCAGCTTCAAGCTTTATCGTCACCGGTTCCGGTCTTTTCCTCTTGATAATCAGGAAGACCTCATAACTATCCTTGATCTTGGTAAATTTCGTACAGAAGTCTGTGAGGAGCTGTTCATGATCTTCCCGCATGCCTAGGAACCAAGGCTCCTTTTTATTTTTAACTGCAGTTGCAAATCGAAATGTATCTCCCTCCTCACGTGTGTAATCCTCAGGGTCGAGCTCTACTAGAAGCTCGTTTTCGATGAAATCGACGAAGCTACTAATAGTACCCGGCGTAAGGATTGGAGTAACTGTAGCTACTCATAACGAGACAAGTTAGTATATCTCTCTTAGCTGCGGGATCTCTCCATACTTAGCTTTTCAAGCCTATCTGGCTTTCCCGATGCTAAGCACCAATAGAGATAGCAGTGGACGATTAATGAGACTGTCGCTGGCGCTGTAGGGACTTGAAGTCGCCCTCGGCCGAGGCGGCCACCTCCGGAGCTTCTCCCACCAATAAATTGGCGCTGAATCGATCGCTGTTGGATCTGGCGCTGCCGGATCTCATTTGTCGTCCCCGATAAGGCCTGGAAGCGTGGTTCAGGGGTAATTAGGCTTCTCTCGTAAAGGGTCGCCCTAGCCGAAGAGGATAAATTCTGTATAGGAGTTCTCGTGCTATACGTAGGGGAAGTAATCTGGGCAGTGGAGACAGGAGGATAAGTAAAAACATCTTCCCCAGTATCGTGGGACTGAGTATCGCGGTAGTGCGCCATAAAAACACAAATAGGATGTTTTTCGAGGAAGAATATCAGGTACAAAAATAATGTGAACATAGGAGGGAGCCGAGTCAGCTTGAAACAGAACGAAATCCCCTAGTAAAATTAGTACTCAGTTAAGACTTTATGACGAACTGAGGCATGGATATCTTACCACAACGAATCCACGGATAGGCTTATTTAGCGTCGGCGCCTTCCCCTATTAGTTTCGTATGGTAATCCGGATAGAGCCGGAAGTATAGCACCGTGATAACCTCGTGTTTTGGCGTTGAGACATATATACGTAAGAAAGTTTATATATCGAATTACCTCCGTCGATCCCCTTCTTCCTAGATACTAATTGGCTATCCTAAAATCCTAAGAGCGCTATGGCACTCGCTGATCGGCCTGTGTTTGGATATTGGGCCGAGATGCTGTATAGCGGCGCTGAAAATTAGCTTTCCTGTGCCTCTCCAGGCTCCCAATCCCACGCGCCGAGGGGTTTTGTAGTGAGGCGGAGCACTGGATACTCATCCAATTGGTCATGGAGAAGGGCACGGCGGCGGAGTTCGAGATATTCTGCACGGTAAGGATGACTAACTTCCACTGGCGCACGAGACGGGGGTCCTCAGGATTGAAGTCATTCCCAGGCCCATAAAGCTCGGCTCCAATCTCCTGAAGCTGCTGGTGGCACCAAGCCAGGACGTCAAGGGGTAAATATTCATCTTTATCCCAGTCCCGGACGTCCTCCTGTAGCTCGCGAAGCAGCATAGGATCAACTGCACGCTGGTAATCGGGCTTAGATGCATTAAAATAATTCATAAAGGGCTTCCCGGTAACAGCGTTCGGCCGTGACTTTTGCTTTCGGATATTATGAATATTCCAGGTCTTAGCGTACTCGCTAATAACCCGGCGGAGTGTAGGCATATAGACCGCAAGAAGGGCGACTTGCTCAGGGATAGAGCCGGAGAAGAGACCTATAGAGGATTAGCGGCAGCAGCGGATAGTGGGCAGGATAACTTACCTTGTTCCTGGAGCTCCCGGAAATACTGGTAATAGAGGAAAGTACATGACTTAGATAACTGCGCCCACCAAGCCTCTATTCTCTGGTTATCTGTGCTTCGTCCTAGCCAGAAACAGTCTCCATGGGCAGCCTCTGGATCGAAAACCTGCCGCAGCGCCCATTGTGCATCCCCAATTAGGGATGTCTCCGAGCCGAGGTCAGACCGAATAATCTCCGGTTGGTAGCAGAGGTCGGCGATGGTGTCAAGAAACTGAGAGAGAACGCTCACTGCTGTACGAGAACTAATTCCCACGTATATCCAGAGAATATACCGAGAGTACCCATCAATAGCGGCATAAACCTCAACTCCGAACTGCGCTAGCTTCATATAACCATCCACATGCCACACGAAATTCGGCCCAGGGCACCAATACTCGCCGCGGGAGCGCTGGAGATCGTATGATCGGCGGAGGAGTGAGTCAGGGCGAAGGGAGCGGTAGACTTCGAATACTCGGTGCTGTGGGAAAAGAAAACCATGACGGCGAAGGTGGTGATAGAGAACGCGACGCCCATAACCTTCGGCATCGCCAATCCCAAGCTCCTCGGTCAAGATAACCTCGATTTCGAGCCGCTGCTGCTGCCTCTGAAGCGGGCAGTCTGTACGAAGCTGAATTCCAAGCTGTTTTCGTAACCTTTTAAGTGTAGGTTCAGAGACCTGGAATCCCTCCTTTTGTAGCACTTCGAGTGTCTCTTTAGGAGATAAACCGGCTTCGGTAACTAGCGTGAGAAGGCGAGCGTGCAAAGCTTCATTTTGGCTGGGTAGTTCGCGTCGCAGGCCCCAGGAAGAAAGGCGAGTTTTGAGCGTGCGAAGTGAGATATTGACGCCGTAGCTTTGTATGATGGTCTGGATATTGGCAATAGGTGTATTCTGAGAATATAAGAGAGTAATCTCCTCCCTATAAGACTCTAGGTTAATTGGAGGGCGTGGCATGGTAAAAATAGAGGTTATTCATACGAGCCCAAAATAGTAGGAATTATACTGTGTTAAAATCAATAGAAAGGATTGCCGGCTACCTGGTCATACGGTCTTATATACACACTACACTAGCGTAACTACTGAGTCGGAGATTTAGTAACGTAATCTACGGGCGAGTGAAACACCGCAAAATACCATATTGAATGCCATATTTTGATTCCTCTATATCTCAACCACTAGCGGTTTATTCTTGTTAAAATTTGAAACAACAGTTTTCCAAGAAAGAGCAATAATATATCTAGATTTTGAGCTAGTCAGACCATTATTTCGACACTTTACCATAAAATACAGCGTAGTTTTGATATTGAGACATCAATATATATATATCTCCTATTTCTTAAACTTTCTATGCTGCACCACTAGGTCACAAATGCTATTTAGGTTATACGAGCTTTATATGCTATCCGAAAGAGCTATATTTTTGGAGATATGAAGTTGTTATTTATCGCATTTAGTATGGAGTTTTGGGGTATTTCACACGCCCGTGTGTTTCACTCGCCCGTGGATTACGTTATTCCGACCTAGAACTACAGTGACTGGACATAAGTTTCTACACCCCGGCCAGCTCACCGTCTCTATTGATTTATACCGCCTACCTAAAGCGCGTAGTATAGAACCATGCTAAAAATAGTAAGCGACGCAAACCTAGGATGGGAGCATTTCCTTGAGACGATTCCGCAGCGGATGGAAGCTATTATTGGGAGCCAGAGGCGGTATACACCGTATTAGATTCCATAGTATGAATTCATGGAGGTTTTTGACTGGCAGTATATTATATAATCAGGGGATGGGGCCAGACAGTGTAGAAACTTATGTCCAGTCACTGTAAGTCTGTTCCTCGCCATAGTGGCTAACCTAATTAAGGTAGGGCGAACAGGATATAAAATACGGGCGGAAAAGGAGGCGGTATACAGATTGCCCAATTATATTGGATTCTGGGTTATTGCACTCGTGATCCCTATTAACCTCCGTAGTCAACGTCTCATGGAGGCAGCGCGGTTTCTTGCCATGTCACCCACATCATAGAAATTTCAATTCCTTTTTTTTTTTATTCTGCAAAGCAATTTTGATCCCTGTTGGTCACGTCTTGACTACGGCCTCCAACTCAATTGAGATGATCCAATTCAAGAATTGTGCAACTCTGATCACGCAATATGATGATGATGATGATGATGATGATGTATTCATTTGCCCGATGTAGCTCGCTCTATATATATGCTGCTATGCGGGAGTGCTGTCAGGCCTGCCGACAGCTGGAA